ATGAATCTGCAAATTTTAAAAAATGCACAGTGGTTTATATATCTTGTTACCTCTGGCACTGGATCAATCCTTTTATTTTCCTATCAATTCCCAGGGGCAGCAGTGAACCTAACCTTAGTCACTCCAGAGAAAGCTATCAAGCTGGCAGCCAATGACTTCTTCCGAGAGCAGCTCTTACAAGATGGGTAATGGGCAAAAGGGTGGCTTTGAAACTCCCTTTCGTGTGCATGTGTCTGTGTGTACCTAAGTTTACACACATGGCTAGGGGTTAGAGAAGTGTTGGTAGGAATTGGGAATAGGTGGAAGAATGAAGTGAGAAGGCTTAATTCTAGGACAATGTCTACCAGCCTTGAAATTTCTTTAAAACAAACACAGAAAAAAATCTAGCCCTTCTCCTTGAATCTCAGGCAGTAGGGAGCAGCAGGAACTGTCAGTGGCTTCAACTTTTGTTTCAAATTCTTTTATCCTAACACCCCAATTTGGCCCCAGGGAACCCCAACCACGGGTTAATTTTATTCAGACATGAGTGGCAGTCATTGGGAGCAGAGCTGAGTAGAAGCATCTTGGCCATTGACCACTTTAATTTACCCCATTTCAGAGAGTGAGGATGGCCATCCATATATGATAAAGGAGTCTGACTGTCCATCTGGTCTCTCTGGGGCTTGTCTGGGCTGGCCCTGCAGGTCAAAACAGAATCTGATAAGGGAGATGCTGGCTGGGTGTGGAGCTGGGGTGTGCCAGGCGGTGGTTACCTCTCCCATGGAAATGCTGAAGATACAGCTGCAGGACGCTGGACGACTGGGTGAAGCTTGGACAGGGTAGAAGATTGAGTAGGTTGTTCATGTCCTTTTGGCAGGTGGAAAAGGTCTTTCAGCCCATTCAGACATGCAAACAAAGACTCCCTACTCCTAAGGAAAGGGGGCCAGAAGAAAGGAACCAGGGAGGGACACAAAAAAGCATCTTCCTCTTTTTGGGGGGGACTGGATCCTCAGGCTAAATATTTAGTATGCCAAACTAGAATTCATCTAGCTGGTTTTTTTTTTCTCCCAGGCAGATCCAAACCAGCCTGAGTTAATGTCAATCAGAAACCTGATTTAAGGTTCTATACAGTTCTAGCTAAACTGGGGGAATTCCCAGTACTTTATGACTTTGACCATTTTAGGTTAAGAATATGTTATAAGGATCAAAATAGTGATTAAATAATTTTGCTTCTGTGTACACCTATATTCTCAAAGCTAATTCATTTGGGGCCTGGCACCTTGAATTCAAACAACCTGTGAATTACGATTTTTTACTAGGAACTCATAATTAAGACAAAACTTAAGAGAAGCATGACAAAATCAGTTAACTTTATAATTTTTCTTGATAAATGCTGTGGTCATTACTGGAGATTTTTATGCATATGTATTAAATAATAAGTGCTTGTTATTAATTTATATGTTAATCTCAGGCCCTTCTAAGTGAGCTGACTGCAGCCTCAAAAATTTGTCATACTTAAGATGGGTGCAATGTAGTTGCCAAAGTGGGAGCCTTCAGGTTTCAAGGCAGGAATACAATCTGAGCCATAATCTGGAAAAGGAAGTACTGTGAAATTCCCTAAATTGTAGGTGACAGTTCTTATAAGTAGTAGAGTGCCAAACTGTCGAGGATAAACTGTACAGATACCTCACAAGGCTGTAGCAGTGGGCAGAAAATTAGCAAATTAATTTCAGTGGGTAAAGTGTATTAGGAGAAATCATCCAAACTACTTATATCTAAGCTGTGCTCCAAAGGCTCTAAATTACTATTTATGACTTAGGAATGTATCCTGGGTGGCACTATCAACTAATGATTTCCGTGAAAATTTCAAATTAGTGTGCTGTCATAACAAAAAAAGACCAGCAAGCATTAGGCGTTACAAGTGAGATATTAGAAACAATCCAAAAGATATGGAATATGGTATGCTTGCATCTGGAATAGTGTTTGCTACCAAAGAAAATGGAGTAGATTAAGAGTGCTACTAACGTGGTCAAAGGGATAGTGGGATGGATGATTATGAGTGACTTAAAAAATGGGACTCTTTAGTATGGAAGAATGAGGGCTGAAAGTTTTAGAATAAAAGGAAATGCTACTGAGGAAATAGTATATGTATGAAAGTTATATAGGCTGAAAAAAAAAGATGAATTAATGAATGATTGCATTTAAGGAACACATGGGATATATTCCTATCTCTTTAACATCAGTCATAAATGGATTTTCCAGTGCTCTCTTTTGGAAAATTTCTATCAAATATGGAATACTTGGTTCAGTGAATCTTAGATGTAGCCCAGTGTGGCCATTCTTATTCCCTTACCACCAAGGAGAGGCTTGTGAGTGTGCATAGAAGGGGAAGTCAGGCAGGGAGTAAAAGGAAGCCTGCCTGCTTCTCCCATCTTTTCCAGTTGGTCAGCAGCACAGGACATGCACATCAACAGCTTCCCCTGTCAGGCCCTATACCACAGACTCCACCCCTAAGCGTCCTTCTGCCACCATCATTGCCTGGGAAGTCTTTCATACTCAAGGCCTGAGTGGCCTTTATAGGGGTTTTGGTGCTACTCTCCTAAGGTAAGAGTTGAAGTCATCTTCTGGTTTGAACATATCAGGCTCGATTTCCCAGCAACTGAACTGATCAGAGGGATAGGGCCATTCAAAGGGATCTTTGGTAGGCCATGTCAAGTGTTTTCCTCAGTTTCCCTTACCCCCAGTTCCACATTGGGATAGCTGATTGTCCTTACGCTCCATGTGTTTGCAAAAGGTCTGGCAGGATCCCACCCCAGAGCCCCAAGACAATTTAAAGAACCTCTGCCTACTGACTGGACCCATGTGTTTCTAGGATATTGGTCTTTTTTGGTTTGTGGTATAAGCTATTTCCCCTCCTCTCCTACAGGGACATTCCTTTCTTGGTCATCTATTTTCCTTTTTTTGCCAACCTCAACAATCTAGGGATCAATGAAGCTACTGGGAAGGCCCCTTTTGCCCACTCATTTGCATCTGGTTGTTTAGCAGACACCCTTGGATGGTAAGAGTCTGGGTTAAACTGGTGGCTTAAGAGACAGGAGTAGGTCTCTAGGGTGAAGGGTAAGTCAACTTTAAGGGACATTTTAAAAATGTTTTTAGGGTAACAATACTGAACAGCCTAATACTGCAGCATCAGATTAGAAAAAAATTACAATAAAAATTAGGGTAATAGGGAATTTAATATACATAGAATATACATTCCACACTCCATAAAGGATGACACCAATATCCCACTTAGAACTACTGGAGAGACTTGTTAGGCACTGGAATTAAGAGCTGTGTTTTACTTTCAGCCAATGACAGATCCTTTTCTGCCTTGGTTTCATCAACTTATTACCTCTCAATAGACTAGTATAGATCAGGAAAAAAAAATAACCTGAAAATTATTAGTCTCTGGTTAATGTAACAAGCAAAATAATGGGCTTCCAGCAGTATTTCCTTCGGCTTTAGGGCTGTGGTTAGTTATGGCTCTTCTGAGGAAGTGCCTTGGGTCAACTGTCATGATTCTTTCTTGTTCATTGGATCATGGAGGTAGGGAAACCCAACATCAGAGGCAAGAAGTTTGTGACTTCTTTTTCTATTTGTTTTAGTTTTGAAAACTCGAATTCAAACTCTCAAGAAAGGTGTGGGGGACGAAGCCTATAATGGGATCATAGACTGTGCCAGGTGAGGACTGTTTTCCTTTATCAACTGAGACTGGATTAATTCTGTAATTTGACTTGAATTGTATATTCTAATTTTTGCATATCTTATCCCCAGTAATTCCTACCCCCAGGGAGCCTGATAATCTGTCACTTTTTCATCGTTGTTTCCCTGGTACCTAACACAATGCCTTGCACATAATAGGCACATAATGCCTTAAACATTTAGCTGAACATATAGAGAATATGTTTTCCTAAGAACCAGCCTAGAGACCAGTCATTGCTTTGCCCTGTTAAGGCTTAGCATTTCCTCATTTCTTCCCACCTGAATAATCTGTCTTATTAAAAAAATGCTGGGACCTACCCATTCTCCTTCTCCCTTTCAACTCCAAGGGAAGAAAACAATTATTTTTGCTGCCTTTGACTGCCAAAGGTAGTCAGTGGGAAGATCTTTTAGCCAGTTTCCTCTAAACAGTAATTCAGGATGACCTCAAGTATACAGGGTATGACTGGTGAATCACTAATTTGCTGATATTAGCCTGTGGAACAAGGTTTCCTGCTTAGGCTCCGCCTAACCCAAGGGAAATTACCTACCACAAGAAACAGTAATACAGGGATAGAATTCACTGAATTATGCTTGTATTATATTGTATTTTTGTTCTTCGGCTTAACCAGGATCTTCTTTCTCTCCAGGAAAATCTGGACTCATGAGGGACCTGTTGCCTTTATGAAAGGGGCTGGTTGCCGGGCCCTAGTCATAGCACCTCTTTTTGGTATTGCCCAAGGTGTCTATTACCTCGGTATTGGGGAAACCATCTTAACATTTTTCTTTAGTTCAAGCTAAAAAAGGACTCTCCAGCAGATATAACAATACTCTTTTAATTTAATAGTTGCTAAACACTGAGAAACGGACCTGGTCACATTAATTCCTAGTTATGAAGCTAGGAATTAATTCCAGACATTGGGGCAAAGAAAAATCAGAAGCTTAAGAGATAATTATAGGAACCTGTGTAACTAACTATACCAACTCTAGACCATGGCCAGTTCAAGGATCAGAATGACTACAGCTGATGACCATTTTCTAGGAAAAAGTCAGTTCAGCTATATGCATGACAATCCTTAAAGCAGTCACTGAGATCAAGTCTCGGCACTCTTGATAATTAATATTAAGAGGTTAAAAAAAATACTTAAGATCTCATTCTATGAAAAGCTTGAGAGAACTAAACAAAACTAGAGTGAATACTGGCTGTTTTTTTTTAAAGCCAACAATCTCTGTATCTTATCTGAACAAAATAAACATTAAAACAAGCAATGAACAAAGAATTGTTACCAGTTTCTTTTTATCATTAATTACTTTTTATCAATGAATGAGCACTGTATTGGGTTTTCAGTTCTTCTGCTATCAATAAGATAGATCTTGGAGAAGTCATTTAGCCTTGCTTTAGTCATAATTGTTCAGAATTCCCTAAGTACACTATAAGAAAAAAATGAGCTTACAAATGTTTTCATTTCCCAAGAAGAAAGGAACACAAAAGCCAAGTCTTTCCCACACATCCCAAGACTACTGTAGCAGGAGAAAGATTGTAGAGGATGGTGGTAACATGCTCGTGACTGCAAATCCACCATAACTCACAATTTTAGCCTAAATGAATAAAAGTATTTTCCTATCAAATGTCTTAGAATTCTAAATAGGATGTACCACATTACTATAGCATATGAGATCAGACAGTAATCACAGATCTGGTACAGACTTTAAAAAAAATAAAGGTTAACAGGAAATGTAGTAATTTGTGAAGTAAATGCTCCAAAGTAGGTAGGCTATTCTTTCTTAAATAACACCCTCAACTCACCTAACTCTCAAATCTGTGAATGTCCTGAATAAGAGATTATTATAGTTTGATCCACATATTTTTTATTTTAATAAATAAAGCATATTCATAGCTTGGGTTTTTGAATCACAGATACAACTGAGGAAAGCCTCTAAGCCCAAATAGTTAACAGGGGTAATACTATTAATGCTGGAGTGAATGCATGCTCCTTATGTGTATTAAAGTAACCTATAGAAATACAATACAAAGAGGCTATAAGATACCTCACATACACAGCTCCCTCCAACCTAAGGCAGATCACAGAAGGATTCTCAGTGAAAACCATGCAACTGATATGTAATCCCCTTGTCCCCAGAATGTAGAGATCAGAATTTAGTCACGTCTAGACGAACTAGGTTACTTGTTGACAATTTAAGTCCATAAATTCTCTCCCAAAGTTAACATTTAGGCTAATGGTATTCTATACAAAGGCTACTCCACTTAAGAACATAAGACAATGTCAGAGCATCAGAAAGGAGGAACATTGATAGTTGTTTCTTCAGTTTTAGACACATAACTCATCAATACAGCAGATGGAATGGATCCCACCTCATCAGAGGCTTAGTCCAAAAATTTCCTGTTGGCATTAGCACCAAACAAGGCCCCACGGACTTCTGGCATCATCTGTGAAGAGAAAGAACAGGGTTTTTCCCCCCTTTAATTTCCCCCTTCAGTTCCTGTCCATTAACCCATACAGCATTCAGTAACTACTTTTTTTTTTCAGTGCCTGCCATATGCCAGATGGGCAGCTAGTTGGTGCAGTGGATACAGTGTCCAGACTCATCTTTGTGAGTTCAAATCTGGCCTCAGATACTTACTAGCTGTGTGAACTTGGGCAAGTCACTTAACCCTGTTTGCCTCAGTTTCCTCATCTGTAAAATTCCAGTATCTTTGCCAAGAAAACCCTAAATGGGTTTTCAAAGAGTTGGACACAACTGAAACAACTGAACAACAAGCCAGGCACACACTGAGGATATAAAGACAAAAATGAAACAGTCCTTGCCCTTAAGGGCTTTCACATTATACTTAGAGGAAAATATATTAACATATAAATAAATACAAAGTAATTTTAGGTAGAAATGGGACAGCTAGGTGGCACTGTGGATAAAGCAATGAGTTTAGAATTAGACTCATCTCTGAGTTCAAATCTGACCTCAGATACTCACTAGCTGTGTGACCCTGGGCAAGTCACTTAATTCTGTTTGCCTCAGTTTCCTTATCTACAAAATCAGCTGGAGAAGGAATATTTATGTTAATTTTGGGTGACTGAGAGCACTACGAACTTGGGGTGGAGGCGAGGGTGCTGCTCAGGAAAATCAGGAAAAGCTTCTTTTAGAAAGTGGCACTTTAGCTGGGCTTTGAAGGAAAATTCTAAGGAGATGAGTGAATGCATTCCAGCCATGGGGATGGATGAAAGTATGCATAAAAGGAAGTTATGTAATATCTAATGTAATGTAATGTAATGTAAGTTATGTAATATCTAATAAGCTTAGGTTAGAGGCATACTCTGAAGGGCTTTAAATGCTGGAGAGTTTGCATTTTATCCTACAAGTAATGGTGAACCACTGGAAATTTCGACAAGAGTGATATGGTAAAACTTGTTTTAGGAATATCATTTTGGCAGCTGTGAGAAATAGACTGGAGAAGGTAGAGAATAGAGACAGAGAAGCCAATTAGGAAGCTATTATAATAGTTCAGGCAAGAGATGGTAAGAGCTTGAATTGAGTAGAGGAAAAAGGAATAGGAAAGCAGAATTTGCAAGCTACCCTAAATAAAACCAAAACCTATCCATCTCAACCAAGCTGTTGGTCCTATAAGGAGCTGGTGAGGTGTAACAAGTGGTAAACATAAAAATCTGCCCTTGATTGACAAGTATGCAAAGATTTGAATAAAATAAAGATCTCTTGCATGCAAAACCTGGTGAATTAGAACTCTATTTTGTTTGGGGCAAATGAGATATTGCTAACTGAAAACAAAGGGAAAAAAGTTGCTCAGTTCTTGGTTTCTGTTTTTTTTTCTACTAAGGAGAATGGAAATGACAAAAAACAAAAAACAAAAACAAAAACAAAAAAAAGACCAACAGGTAGTTGCCTCAAGCTACAGGAGGAGAGAGCTGCCCTAAATGAATCCAAGCCACCTGGCTCATAAGTTATACCACTGTGTGTGTATATATATTGTGAGTGTACACGTACACACACGTCCTAAAGAGAAGGTACTACAAATTGAAAAGGGACAAATATCCTAGTTTTCAAAAGCAGGAAGAGAACAGTATGCCAAATATATGCCAGTGAGCTTGATTTTGTTTGGCAAACATTTAGAAAAACAGGCAGTGATTACAAGAGCCAGCCTGGGTTTCTTGTGGGCCACCTAGAAGGAACAGGCTATCCCAGCCTACCCTTAGAATTCATGTCTCAGCCCAGTGAAAACAAGGCCTCGTTCCATGGCCCTTTTGTGGTAACAGAGGGAGGATGAGAAAAGATTGCGGGATTCTTTGGCCATCCTAAGCCAGTCATCCTTATACCAAGAATAATACCACCCTCTGGTTAGTGTAATTCCCAAAATGAGCAGAAATACTTATAAGGCTCATGGTCAAATCAAACTTTACAAGTTGCCCTTGCCATATTGAGATCATACTGAAAATGAACTGTTCCTAAGCCAGAAAGTTACTCCCCCCTGCTTCTCCCCCCAAAAAAGATATTCAAAAAGAAACTGAAGAAACAAAAACTTCTTGCCAGTAGAGGCTTCTTCAAAAACAAGTCATGACAAACTAACCTCATTTCCTTTTTCGAAAGGATTACAAAACTAGATGTGAGGAATGCTGTGGATATAGTTTACTTATAAAACATTTGATAAAGTATCTCAACCTATTCTTTGGGAGAAGATGGAAAGATATGGTTCAGATAATTTAACTGGATGAATTTTGGAACTGATTGGATTGCCAGACTAAATGGTTCAATGTAAACATTATCGGCCTTCTCCAGGGGAGTACCTAACGGATTTGTTCTCGGTACTGATGGAGGAAGCATGTACAGATAGTTGTTCTGAAAAGATCTTGGGGTTACATGGACTGCAAGCTCAATATGAATCAGGAGTGTGATGTGGCAGGCAAAAAAGCTTATGAGATTCTTGTGTTGCAGTGAGGGGCATAACTTCAAGGAATAAGGAGGTGACAGTCTGAACAGGGGAAATGAGTGGCAAAGAGGCACATTTACTTGATGTTAGGGAAAACTTCCTAACAATCAGAGCTATATAAAATTGGAATAGTGATGGGTTGGGTCCGTCTTCAATCAGAGGCTGGACGATCATTTGTCAAATAGTGAGGCTGGACTATTTTTTTTAATTTTTAATTTTTTTAAGAAGTTTTTTCCAGCTCCCAAATTGTTATTCTCAAAGACAGTCACTCCATTCCCCCAAACTATTATTTAATAGATCTTCCACACATCATAATTCAGCTAAGTGTATTACGTACCCATTAGCACTAAAAAGACTTCATTAGCAAAATTTGGACTATTCTCCTACCAAGAAATTTTCCTACTGTAGGCCCAGGTCACCTTACAAATGCTTACAAGTGCAAGAAGGTTTAATGTGCAGGATAATAGAATGATAAAGCATGTCCAACATTGTTAATGCTTCCATTAACTCATTTGAGAAACCTTTAGAGAAGCATTTTAGTTGTCAAAGGATTAGACTCCCATCTTTTTTTGTTTTTTTTTTAGCGTGTTGTTGTTTTTTTTTCTTATGTGAGGCAATTTGGGTTAAGTGACTTGCCCAGAGTCACACAGCTAGTGAGTATTATGTGTCTGAGGCCAGATCTGCACTCAGGTCCTCCTGACTCCAGGGCCAGTGCTCTATCTACTGCACCACCTAACTGCCCCTAGACTCATCTTTCTTGCTTTTGCTTTCTTGCCCTTCTTACCACACCCCTAAACTACCACAGACTCCTAATAAACCTTTCTGTCTCTATCTTCTACCCCTCCACCCCAACTCATCCTTCATACCAGACTCATCTTCCTAAACACCCGGAAGACAGAACAGTCTCATTTTTATCTTTGAATTCCCAGGTTTAGTTGGTTGGCTGGTTGTTCTTTTTTCTGCTCTTTGTTCTCAAAGAGGACTATGTTAGAGTCAAGTTACAATGGGTCTGCCTGTGGCTGATCAGACCAATAGGAGCTCTAAATGCTCTAACACGGGTCAGGCACAAATAGTCCATGTGAATATTTGTGGTGGATTCTCTATATTTATGCATCTCGTGTTTTTTTCTGAGCTACTTCAATTCTGCTTCGCTCTGAGAGCACAGCACCTTCTCTGATGAGGGCACACCATGCTGGGCAGTCCTCTGCCAGTCTCCCATGTCACACAATTAATTCCAAAGTTCTCAAAAGTGCTTTTTAGCATGATGTTTTCAGACGTGTTGCCCAGGTTTAGCAGGTGCTTAGCAAATACCTGTAAGGTCATCCTGAGCTACTCCCTAATGCAGTACTCTAGCACAGTGAGGAAGACAAGTATTTGACTGGAGAGCAACTTGCATTCCTGGATGAGGAACAGGCCTCTGCCACTACTGCAAACTGCAAAGTGTCCAGGAGCACAGACATATTCCCAGCTGGTTTTGTGGTAATCATTCAAGCCTGAATACTATTGATTTTTGGGAAACAGATACTTCCCAAACAACTCCTCTCACTCCCAAGCGCGCTGCTCAAAACTCCCTAATAGAATGATTGCAGCAGCCACTCTTAAAGGAATATTTATTTCCTTTCATTCCTACAAGAGGGGGACTTTGATTAGTATTTGCTACACAAAGCAAAATACAATAGAGCTCAAGAGTTCTTACTTTGACCTCAAATCCTCTTTTATGTGAGAAATATCACCTCAGTACATGTGACCCAGTGCCTGATAATTATTCTCTTCAAGATCACTGGCTAGATACAGCTCCAGAGACCCTTCTATACTGACCTATTCTAGAAACAAAGTGACAAAACCCCAAATATCAGTGTTCCTCGTTTCCAGACATGCCGAGGACATTTGTTCTCTATACCCCTCCCCACCAAAGCTTGAATTTGGTAAATAGGAAAAGTGAATATCAATGACTACTTCTGCTTACCTGTTGGGCTATAAGATCCAATCTACTTTCGAGGGTATTAGAAACTTTTATTTTACGATCCCCATTATAAACTTCAACACCTCCCGCTCTGGAAAAAAGATAGTAATAATTTTCAGATTCAAGACGTACAAAAAATATTCTTGACAAGATAGTATTTGGGCATAAAATACCAGCACTTTAAGAGAACCCTGCTCTTCTAAGCAATAAATAATAATATAATAGTAAGTTAGTGCAAAAAAAGCACACAATGGGTATAAAATTACAGTACAAGTAGGATTTCGCTTGATAATGTAACACCTGATTCAGTGAAAATAGTGTTGTCCATTGCCAAGCAAGCAGAACAGGAAGGGCCCTAGGGGCTGGACTGCAGTGGAACAATGAGTCCTGACTTCAAACCCACTTCCTCCCCCAACATTCCACTTTGATCACTCCCAAGCCCTCAGGACCGTAGCACCTCCCTACATAGGCTGGAGATCAAATATTGTTATAAAGAAACCCAAGGGCAAAAATTCTTTTGGTGCACAAAAATTCTTTAATATCAAATATAAGCTGGGACTTGGAAATTTTTGTTTTACAAGCCTTTATTTTGTAATAATTAGGTTTTAATGGAATTTAATCTGAATATTATCTTGAAAATGTTTTAATCTATTGTCTTATAATTGTCTTTTAGTTATTTATTTCATCTGCATTTGGTCACCCTGATTAGATTGAATTCCCTGAGAATGAAAGATATATCCTTTATTTTTTACTGCTATGTACAATGGAGGGCTCTCAACTGTAATCGCAGAGACAGTTCTAACAAAGAATGTGGAATGAGTTTAAGTCCCCAAGACCTGCTTTATAGCAGTGGGGATCACAATGCTGACTACACCTCAAGACTGTCCTTGCCATATCAGCATCCCATACTACAAAGGCGGTGAAGGCAATGAATCAGGCTCCATTGTCTTTATCCAGGCACATCTTGTGGTCCAGTCCAACTGCTTGCTGGCAGAAAGGGCCACCACAGTGATCTGATTTTCTTTTATGATATACTGCTCAAGGGTAGAGATTGTGTTATTTATTTCTCTTTTTTATTCCTTCTAGCACCTAGTGCACACAGTATTAGCATTTAGTATACAGTAGCTACTTGATTTCTACTTCTGCTTGGAGCTCTGTTTAAGGCACATTTGACACACACTTCTCTGCTGGATAACATCCACAGTTTATTCCCTAGGAAGCTGACTTTTGGGACATCTTTCAAGTAATGAACACAGGAGAGGAATATAAAAAAGCATACAAAGAAAAGTCACAGCATTGTTAGTTGTAAGCTCACTGTCCAATTCTCCCATGGGGTTTTAAGTGTCTTGGAGAAATGATACCATAATAAATGTTAAGCAAAAGGATTCATCTTTAGTCCTTAATCTAGGAAGTTAGATATTAAAGCAATAATAATGCTCCTTACATTTCCTCTGGCAGATAGGCCTCCTGATCAACTTGGACCTCAACATCTTTTGTGGTTGCAATCTTGTACATAGGGATTGCTTTTTGCACTGCAGCCTAGAAAACAAAAGACAATATTGAATACTGATAAAGGTTTTGGCAGCAACTTTGGAGTATACACAAATAAGAAAACATGTGAATGTTCACGGTGATTGTAAAGTGATGAATAAATGCTACTGTTTTTACACATCAAAAGCTCAAAGTGTAAGAAGCACAGTGAGAAACACCTCCACTCAAGCAACCTCTCCATTTTCTTTAAGAATTAAGTGAACACTGTGTACTAGGTTGGAGATGTCAGAGATTTTACCATTCTACTTTTGAATCTGAAATTTCAGTTATTAATTATAGAATAAAGATATAAACTGTTGCGATATTTTTATTGATTTTATGTTAACTTACATGTATTGCTTATTTTTGTAAGTAATCTACTTTCTGTGAAAAAGATACTAAACAGTAGGAGATCAATATGCAGTTAGATTTTTAGGACCACTCCATTGTAGGGCACCAATAAACCTTTATATTTTTAACTGTTTGTTTTGCATGAGCGAGCCCTCCTACATACTGATTTTTCGAATTTCATATTTTTCTGTAACAGACTGACTCAATCCCACTGCTAAATTAAACCCATCTTAGAGGAGCAGTCATTCGTAATAATTGAATGCTCCAGAAAAATGAATATATAGTTTTTTCCCCAGAGATGATAGTAAATACAAATACTTTCTACATGCCATGTTTCAACTCCCCTGATTAAGGGCAGCCAGAAGTCCGAACAATTCCCTCTTAAAGAATGGAAGTGTTCTTCTCTTATAAGCATCATATTGTTTACCTTGACCAGAGGGAGATCCTCTTTCTTGCAACGGACAATCATGCGTGGCTCCAGCAATTGGTATAAACCCTGTGCAAGATAAGAATAGACAGAACTGGCAGAAAATACAAAATAAAATCTTAAGACAGCAAAAGCAGGAGAAGAAAGTTTTTCTGGCACTTATTTCATATAGCTTAGGAAAAAAGATAAATGAAAGTTTCCAAGAGATAACAGTATTTACATAAACAATAAAAGTGAAGTTAAAATTTTATTTGGTAACATAAAAATGCAGATAAGAGAGTCAGGTTAAAACAAAACCCAGTTTTTGTTTTTTACTGGCTAGAGGCAATGAAAGAATAAGTCTTACTGTAATTAAGATACCTTAATATAATTAAGATAATTACATGATATAGTGTCAGACAATGAATAAGCACATAGATTCTTTGGTCAAATTGTCAAAAGGCCACATTTATAGTAAGGCCTTAGGATAAATTTGTAGAAAAATGCCCATGAGGTCCATTATTAGGCTAGATAGCACAGATTTCCATACTAGATAAGGAAGAGAAAAAAAATCAATTAAAGGAAAGCTTTATTAAAAGAAAGCTGATGGAAATGAGATTATTTCATGATTAATAAGTTCTAATACTAAAGGAGGTAATACTTAGTAGGAAATGTTTACTAGAAAGGGTGGGGCCTCTGGCCATATTATATAGTAGACAAAATTACCTGAAGGACCAGACCATCCAAAAGCACCTGATATCTGGTGGTGTCTTTTACTACCTTGGAGAGTCTCTGCTTCGCTTCAGTTAATAAGTCCTGAAGAGAAAGAATAAAGGAAAGGGGAAAGTCATTTTCAAATCCACATGCTTGAAGATGAGGCAGCTGGGTGGCACAGTGCATAGAGTGCTGGCCCTGGAGTCAGGAGGGCTTGAGGTCAAGTCGAGCCTCAAACACTTTGTAACTGTGTGCGCTTGGGCCAGTCACTTAACTCTGTTTATCGGTTTCCTCATCTGTAAAATGAGCTGGAGAAGGAAATGGAAAATCCCAAATGGAGTTATGGAGAGCTGGACATGTCTGAAACGACTCAATAACAATCCTCTTTTAAAGAATAGTTTATTTTCAGTTTTTAGTAAGTATTTTTAAAAATTTCTTCCTCCTGCTACTGCCCAATTTCATAAATTGTTCTTACTTCAACTTTTTTCACTTTTAATCAGTTCAAAAAGGTCTTCTCAGTTTTCATTAAAATTATTCATTTTATCATTTATGACAGCACAACAACAATCCATTATATTCATACATCATGATTTGTTTAGTTATTCTCCAAATAGGAAGTCCTCTTTGTTTTCAATTTTTGGCTACCACAAAATTAGTTGCTATCAAAATTTTTGTCTCTTTCTTTCATAGGCTCAGTAGGGTTATACCTGGGTGAAAGGGTATATATATACAGTTTGTTAACTTTCTGGGGCATAGCTCCAAATTGGCTGCACCAATTCACAGCTCCACCAACAGTGTACCCTTTTTTCCCGTAGCCCTAACAACATTTGTCATTTTCCTCTTTTGTCATCTCTGCCACTGTCATAGGCAGGTATGAGGTGGATTCTTAAAAGTTGCTTTAATTTGGATTCCTATAATTATTAGTGACAGTATTTTTTCATGATTATTGAAAGCTTGGATTTCTTTCTTCGAAAACCCTGTTCATTTTATCACGGTCTTCCTCTATCTAAAAAATCTGAAAGGCAAAGTCTTCCTTATTCCTCTAATTTGTTCCTGTATCCATTTTAGAGCTTATCTTGGTATAATTTCATATATACATATGTGAGGGACTGTCTGATGTTGGCAGCTACCAGGTTGGGCGCTGTGGCAAGAGTAGGGTAAGATCTGGGTATTTTGGAAGTCGAGGCAGGGGCTGTGGTAGGCAGAGTCGTGGTGAACTGGGATGGGCTGGATACGGAGAAGCCCTGAGGCAGTAGGCAGTGCTATGTGAGATAAGCTGGGTGCAAGGAAGTAGCAGGAGCTTGAGCTCCTGAGGCAAGGGGCGGTGCCACGTGGGAGTGGGACGGCAGAGGACTGAGTTCCCTTTGCTTAGTCCCCTCCCTTTATGCAACGTCATCCCCAGACGCCTCTTGTGACCTTCCTGACTTCCTGGGTCCCTTTGTGCAGCACTGACCCTAGACCCCTCCTCCCAGTGTCTGAGTCTGACTTCCTAGGTCACGTACTCTGTCTATGCACTAATCCCAGATGCCTCCTCCCTGTATCCGGTCCTAGCCTCCTACGTCACTCCCTCCCCCTTGGTGTGCTAAACTCAGACAGCCCCTTCCGGTATCTGACCCTACAATCATTGGCTAGTAAGCGGGCTGGGGAGGAGGGGCTAGGTAGGTATTTTGGAACGAGCGTGGTCAGAACACGCGCTCTCTCTCCTGGCTCCTGTTCTGTTGCTCTGGCCTTGCTGCTTGGGCTTGCTGTGATGGCTTGCTGTGATGGCCTCTGAATAAAGCTCTGGTGTTGGCACCTCCCGATGGCTCGTCTCTGTGTGTTTATCCGGCTGAGGACCGAAGACTTGGAAGTGAGTATGACTCTGGTAGCCTGCTCCTTATAGGAGGAGAAGGTACGGCGTGCGGCCGGCAGAAGGTCGGCGCAGCCAGTACAGTGTCCAACTCCTCATGACTCCATTTGGGGATTTCTTGGCAAAGATATGGGAGTGGTTAGCTATTTCCATCTCTACTTCATTTTACAGATGAGGAAACTGAGGCAGACAATGTTAAGTGACTTGCCTAGGCTCATACAACTAGTAAGTAAGTGTCTGGGGCTGAATTTTAACTCAGGGAAATGAGTCTTCTTGATTTCAGGCCCAGTGCTCTTCTCCACTGTGCCACCTAGCTATCCCATGAAGACTTCATGAAAATATAGAAAAACAGAAATACTAAAGCCTTCATTTCTTTTTTATTTGTTTGTTTTTGATTTTTGCTAGGCAGTGGGGTTAAGTGATTTGCCCACTAGGGTCACACACCTAGTAAGTGTCAAGTGTCTGAGGCTGGATTTGAACTCAGGTCTTCTGACTCCAGGGCTGGTGCTGTATTCACTGCGCTACCTATAGCTGCCCCAAGTCTTTATTTCTTTAGGCAATTAAATTAGATTGAATAAAAAGTCCTTAAAGAACTAAAAAGAAATTGGAGACTAAATATACAAAGAACTGATGGGATCAAAGAAAAAAGTATAGAAAATTTCATCAAATAATATGACAATGAGAGAACACATTAGATTGATGCAGCTAAAGCAGTTTTTAGAAGAAAATGTATATCTAAAGTATTTTTATCAACAAAAGGGAAAAAAATGAATTGGGTACGAAATTTAAAAAACTTAAAAACATCAAAAAATCCTCAACTAAGTAACAAAGTAGAAAAATCTGAAAGTTAAAGAGTTTAATAAAGCAAAAAGCAAAAAGTCCATTGAATTGATAAATCTAGAATCTGTTGGGGTTTTTTTTGGTGGGAGGAGACTAGTAAAATAGATAAGCAGCTATCCAACCTGATAATAAAAAAAAGCCAAATTTTTCATGTCAAGAAGAGCACTTAGAACGATTCAAGAGGAAATAATCAGAAATGATTTTTGCCCTACTGTCAAAGCTGGTGGGGAGAAAATGGATGAATACTAACAAAAATATAAAATATTCAACAAAAGAAATATACTATTTAACCCAAAAGAAATTGAATAAGCCATAAATGAACTACCAAAGAAGAAAATCAGGAATAGATGGATTTATAAGTGAGTATCAAACATTCAAAGAACAATTGATTCCAATATTATGTAAGCTGTTTTACAGTAATAAGAAAATAAGGCATATTTCTAGTCCCTTTCTTTGATGTAAATATTAAATATGGTCTTGATACCAAAGGCAGGGAGAGACAAAACATAGAAAAGAAAATACAGACCAGTATTCCCAAAGAACATTTGATGCAGAAATTTTCAGATAAAATATTAGCTAGTAAGCTGTGACAGCATATTAAAAAGATTATTCACTATGGTCAGGTTTGGTTTACACCAAGACTGCTCTGCCCAGTTGGTTCAATATAAGAAAGAATATAACAAATAATTTTTTAAAAAAACATATGATTATACCAATAGATAGTGAAAAAGGTTTTGACAAAATTCACCGTTGATTTTCAGAACTCATAGGAATAAAAAGGCTTTTTCTTACTATAGTAAATAATATTTACCTAAAACTAAGAACAAATATTTTATATAATAAGAGTAAAATTAGAGGACTTTCCAGTAAGGAATCCAGTAAGTATCACCACTACTAGTTAACGTAGTGCTAGATAGGAATGCTAGCCATAACAACAAAACAAGAAAAATAAATGGAATAAGCATAGTCAAAGAAGAAAATTGAGATGATATACTTAAAACAACTCTAGAATCAACTAAAAATTAATTGAAATAATTTTTAGCCAAGTTGTAAGATACAAGATAAATCCACATAAAATATCAGCATTCCTATATATAACCAATAAAACCCAGCAGAAATGGCTAGAAGAAGATCCATTTAAAATAATAACCTATAAAATGTTTGGGAATGTATCTACCAAGATTAATTCAGGTATTATATAAATTTAACTATAAAACACTCATTGCAGAATTAAATACAGACCTATATAATTGGGGATATCATAATTCTTCATATGTAGGTCTAGCCAATATAATAAAAATAAGAATGCTACCTAAATTCACAGAAGAATATTTCATAGAGCTAGAAAAAAAAATAAAATTCATATGGAAGAAGAAAAGACCAAGAATCTCACAGTTAATAGTGAAAAGCTGTGGGAAGGAAGTTATAAAAAATACCAGATGTCTACAAAGCAGTAATTATTAAAATGATTTAGTACTATTTCAAAAAAGAGGGAGGTGATTAGTGGAAGAATTTAGGTTTACAACAAACAGAATCAAACAAATACAATAGCATAGTGTTTGATAAACCTGCAATTAAGACTGCTTTTGCTGTCTTAAGATTTTATTTTGTATGTATGTATGTGAGGGACTGTCTGATGTTGGCAGCTACCAGGTTGGGCGCTGTGGCAAGAGTAGGGTAAGATCTGGGTATTTTGGAAGTCGAGGCAGGGGCTGTGGTAGGCAGAGTCGTGGTGAACTGGGATGGGCTGGATACGGAGAAGCCCTGAGGCAGTGGGCAGTGCTATGTGAGATAAGCTGGGTGCAAGGAAGTAGCCAGAGCTTGAGCTCCTGAGGCAAGGGGCGGTGCCACGTGGGAGTGGGACGGCAGAGGACTGAGTTCCCTTTGCTTAGAAGGGGAAATACGAACCACTGGGTAGAAGTCGGAGGTACTCCTGATGCAGCCCCGAGGGCGCATTCTGAGGGGGTTGGGCTTCCATCTGGTAAGCTTGTTGAGGGGCCCTCGAGGGGCCCCTTTCCCCGTTTCCCGACTTTGGCTTACGGCATTCCTTAGCATAATGGCCGGATTTGTTACAATTGTAACAAATTACCTTAGGGCAGGCTCCACTAGGTTTCTGGAGGCTTTTCCGCATTGATAACACAATTTAGTCTGTTTTGTTTTCAGCACCTCTGATAGCCCTTTCGAAAAAGCCGCAGCGAGGGCGTCCATTTGAAAGGCACTGGATCCCACATGTTCACATCTCTTTATCATTTCCTCTAGGCCAGCATCATTATCTAATGTAAGCATGGCCTTCTGGCAATTTGCACTGGCATTGTCCCGTGCTAGCCTCTGTATAATGAGGCTTGCGGCTTCTCCCCTGCCCACGGATCTCTCAATAGCCACCTGTAGGCGGGCCACGAAATCCGGGAAGGGT